AAAAAAAAAAACAAGCTTGTTGAGGCACAACAAAACACCCGTTAAAATCGTTCTCTTAAACAGCGCCGAGAAACATATTTAGCTTGCAATGTTCTTCTGAAAAATGGCAGAAAAATAAACGAAAAAAAAAAAAATAAAAAAACTGAATGAAAAGTGGTAGTATGAAACTTATGAAAAGCCGCCGATTTTTTAACCAAATAAAGTCCAGCTGCTTTGGATGTGCAGGATATCTTTGTGTAAAGCTCCAAAGCCACCTCGCAACCACACATCTTGACATAAAGAAACCGCTCATCCCTTCGAACAAATCCTAGAGTTTTAACAAAAATCACATCTTTCACAACCGCCTGCAACAGGAATTCCAACTTGGTAGATCCCAAGCAAAATAGATCGCGCAGTTTTGTAAAACCGTTCTAAGATGAGCAGCTCAAACACTGCGTTACAAGAAAAAAAGAAACAAGGTTCCACGCTAATGAAAACCCGTAACTTTTCTTCAACGGACGCCAAAGTGGAGAAACACGAGCAATCTGTGGCAAGAAGCAATCTTAACGATAATTGCAGTAAGCTAAATCATCTAGGTAGAGGAAAGAAAATAAGATACTTATTAAATTCAAGTTAAAAAACCCATAACAATAACGACCAACAATGAAGCAGAAAACAACAGACCAGTACGAACACAGGACCAAAAGAACAAATAAATCAACACATCAAATAAAAACGGAAAAATCAAAGGGTCGAAAAGCAAAATTAAACCAACAAAGAAATTATGAGCAGAAACTAACAAATTAATGAGCTTTTCGTTGCTGAGGAAAATAAAAAAAGAGGATGAAGAAGTAAAAACCATTTTTTGTATTCTAGTTTCACATTGTCATCTACATAAAAACAGTCACCAAAACAAGCCAACAAAAATCAACACACCGCCAGAACGACTGAAGGAGCTTAATGGCGGTAAAAATCTTATTCACTCATATACTGCTATATTCTCTATGATACGAGTTGAAGGTAGGATAACTGAATACATAACGGTTTTCTCATACCCTGAGATAAAAGTTTGTCTCGAAAACTTCCAAAAACAAGAGAAAATCATTAAGGTTCGGAAAGCTAGTTGTGCGAATGGCAAAGCAGAAACTGTACGAGCAAACTTTAGACTTCATTGATCATCTTTAGAGCTTAACGAGATAAGTACAACAGCATTTTTTGCTTCACGCTGTGTCCACCAACGACCAGCCTTATGCTCCTGACCAACACCACATACTACTTCACTACCATCTTCAGAAAATTGTAAACTGTTGATGAAACCTTTCTGAAAAATTAAAAAATGAAGGACGAAAGGGAGTCCATAAGATATGAAAAAATTTTACCTAGGACACAAGGCTACACTTACCAAGCCGAAAAAAAAAAGTTGCGAAATATTTTTATAATCCAAAGCAACTTTCCAAAATCGTACAAAGCCGTCACAAGAACCAGACGCAACCAAATCGGTGTACTTAGAAGCTGCAATAGAAATGAGCCAATTCGGTTGCCCATCAAGCGATTCACCATGTGCCAACCTCTGTACACAGACTGGCTTTTTTTTAAAAACCGACCAGATACATATAGATCTAAATAACAGGTAGCTTTGGATAAATTGCAAACTCAAAGTAGACCAATTAAAAAAAAAACAGGACACAAAGTGGAGGATGATAAATTGTTCCAATTTCTTTGTTTAAATTGAAAGTAACGTGTCATACCCATCTGCTGACCCCGACACAAAATGATCTTCATTAATCAGTGCACAACAGTCTACGCTAATGCAGCCCAAATAACCATTAAAAACCAGTTGACTTTCCTCCATGACTTTCCACAGACGCAAAGTTCTTTCTTGGCCACCACAAGTTAGTACACGACATCTAGGATAAAACTTAGAATGCGTGCGCATATTTAAATAAAAAACAAAA